GAAATTGCTTGTGAGTGGCTGGAACTGTGTGTGCATGAAGGAAGATAATGTGGCTTTGGTTCACAGGATGGAGAATCAGCAGAGCTCTCTGAGTTTGCTGCTCTCTTGTTTTTATTTCTAGCTAAGCGAACCTGTGCTTGTAGCAAGAGCTTTGGAAGCTGGGCGTCCTGTGCTCCACAAGAACCCATAACATTCCCAAATTAGGCTTCTAATAAAATTAAATTTGACAAGTTGATTTTTTAATTGGCCTCCCAGAAAAGTAGACGATGGTTTTTTTGTGACAAACATAGATGCCTTTGAACAGGTCCCTTTTTTTTTTCCACCAATGCCCGTCTCCTCTTACAATAAACTGTGCCTTCCAAAGACGTTTTGGATAAAAAGTTGGAACACGGTAAACTGCTTCAGAAGCAGAACATAAATGATTGCTCCAGGTAAAATAAAAGCCAATAGCAATTACAGAATTTTTTCAAGAAACATGTTTCATATAACACCTTAGGATTCATGTATAGAAGAAAAACTGTCCATATTTTTTAAACGGATCATAAAATGTAACACAGTACACTGTGTTACAGCTTCCAGATGAGCTTTCTCCCACTCCCAGCCCGGACTCCATGGACTTCCGGCACAGGGTGACAGTGGGGTGTGTGTGTACATCCATGGACCCTTCATTGGTCTGGTAACAGCTGTAAACCACTTCTCGGAGTAATATTTTTAAATGCCTCTGATTATAATGGTATATTTTGAAATACATGTGATCACACAAGAAAAAATTACCTACTCTGTAAAACAGGATAAAACATATAATTTTATGAGTGAGAAAGTTACAAATGCTAAAATGCCATCACGACTTGTTGCCATGGATAGTAAGGAATAAAGGCGTGATTTTTTTCCCATCCACACTTACAACCCACGAAGTTCTATGCGCAGCTCCCCAGAGACTAAGGCCCCTGGATTAACACCCCTCGGTGCAGGACTGACACCACCGTCCTTCCCTCACATGGCTCTATCATATCTCTAGCCCATGGGACAGATGCAGTGGAACAGTCAGTCAACAGTGTGCACACATGTGCAGGGGACATTGAGGTGGGTGTGTGAGCACAGACACACTCAGCCCCAGCAGTGCACCGTGTCACTCGCTGCCAGTGAGCCCAGCAGCTGAACACTGACTGTCACCTCAGAGAGGTCCCTCTGTGTCAGTTCAGTGCTTCCAGCGCTACCAAGAGCTACCTCACAGCACTCCCCAAGGTCAAGAGATGGCCCTCGTGTCGCTAGTGCTTATTTACCCAAATCTTATGTGCGTGGTCTGCACCGCTCCCAGGGTAGCACATTTCACATAATTCCTTTGGAAAAATTTATTTCCCTATCTCCAACCAGGCACTGTGCCCGAGATTTAACTCAAGTTTCCACATATATCTCTATAACTGGATTTATCATCCTCTCCACAGAATTGGCTTCTCTTCTTGACTTGTTAGGCTAGTGTGGAGTAGGGGTTAAACAAGAGAAGGTTCCAGATAGATGCATTCCAGAAGGAGAGCACTGTACAATATGAGAAAGGCAGCAAGCTAGAAAACAAATGAGGTAAAATATTTTCTCGCTATTTTGCAGAACAGATGTTATGGAGTTTGCAGCCCAGTGTGACACAAATGGCTGGATTGTGAGTCTGGAGCCATGGTGGGGAAAAGCGCCTCGTAATCATGTCACTCACTAATGATATTACTGCCCTGTGTAGAAATCTTCAGTGGTCACCACACCATGTACTAAACTAGACACACACCCTGCCCACCATCTTATTAGCTCTCCAGCTTGCTACCTTGTGTCGTACCCTCCTGCTGGAATGTTCTCCAGGAAATTATTGTGTTGAACGCTGGTCTCCTTTCAACAGCCATCTCAGACACTATCATTTTTGGAAAACTTTCTTGATGTGCCCCTACCTTTCCTAAGAGAAAAGAATCTCTTCCTGCTTTCAGCCTCTGGGGTATTTCTCCTAGTACTTGTCTTCCTACGCTTTTCATCATTATCCACTCTGTTCACCTTGAATATCTATTGGAGATTTTTAATTCCTGAGGGTACAGACTGCTTCATTTATCTTTACATCTCCAGAAGCTCTTGTCATGTGTCTTTCGGGAGTAGAATACTCAGAACTTGTCTGCAGTTGAACTGAAATGATATCTATACAAAAAACAGGCTGACAGGAGTGGTCTGCCCGACTTCTCACATATCACAGAGTAAGCTGGCTGGCACGTGCTCACTAACTCTAACTTAATGATTGATGAATAACTTCTAGTGACATTTTGCTTGCATGTGGCCTTGACCCATGCAGTCTTGTGGACTAGAGCACTCCTTCCCCCTGGCCATCCAGCTAACTCTTACTCCAGAAAGTCTTCCCTAGCCCAGCTCACCCAGGCATGTAACCTGTGTGAGCTCTGAATCCCGTACTCTGAATCCGTGGCTGCCAAATTTGGTTTCACGCTGTTGTCCCTATCTTGAAATCCCTGATACTTTTCAAAACAGGTCTGCTATGTTCTTTCTGAAGTAGAATCCACAGTTCAGCAGCCAGCACGGCCTACATCCCCTCTACTGTTTGGTCCTGGTATCCCCGGCACATCTGTCACCCCAGTCATCCCTTGAGTTTTCCACATGCGTCTGTCTACTCCGTGTGCCTCGGTAGACTTTAATCACTGGGAAAGCGCAGAAAGAAAAACAAAAGTGAAGCAAGATGGAGGGAGGAAGGGAACAAGGAGTTCGCTGTAATCATCATATCCACACAGCCCAAACTAGCATGGTGTACTTAATCAGTACTTACTGACTGGATAAATGATGCACAGTGGAAAAGAGGCGGGAATACACTAATTAGTGTATCTGCCCACTCTGATCCCTTTGGCAGCCGGAGTAATGGAAGTCTTTCACTTACAGTCTTCAGATGACAGAAGCTGGTACAGAAACTACTCTAAAGGAAGATATAGTATTAGTTCCAAGAAGAAAGTGAGTAAAGCAGAGGCATGAAGAAAATGATTAAGCAGCTTGCAAATGTTAACCCAGAGGAACTAGCAAAAAGATCTATTTTGGACACAAACAGAGAGTCATGACACTACCGCAGGATGCTCTTGGAGGAAAACAGTGTCTTATTGGTTAAATGGCCCCCTGCTCATTTTCTCTAATGTTTTTCTGCTAACCCCTGGACTCAACAGCCACTCCCTCAAAGGGACATACACTGTCCCTGTCCTTATTTGGTACCAGGTCATCCTCCCAACCATGTTAGAGATCCCTGAATTTCATCTTCTCATTGCTAGTTTGGGGGTCAGGTAGGATCAGGGGATTTTGATAACGTGTTTACAGTTTTTAGTCTGAGTCCATTTAAAGTACAGTTCAGTGCCCTGATTCATGTAGTTGCACTGATCTCGAGTGTCAAGCGTTCCTTTTGAAGTCACACACAAGGTTTTTTTTGAATGGCTAGTAGATTCCTTCCCTCCTGCTGCCAACACGGTCTATTTGTTCCTCTCTCCATTTGAGGAGTTAGAGGAGATCTCCAAGGCGGCCCGCTGGGTTGGGAATGTGCCCCACACCCCTGTCTGTAGGCTCACTCCCACCTTGCCTGTTCTGGGGGTGAGGGCCAACAACACAGTGCTCCAAGCACTTTCTGCTGCACAACCTCAGGAAAGTTACAAAATACTCTGCATTCCAGTGTTTACATCTGCACGGTGGAAAAAATGGTATATCTGTGTAGATTTGTGAGGGTCATGTGGGCAAGGGCAGGGAAAGTGGGACAAGCATAGTTTCCTCTATTCTGTGAATGGCAGTCATTATTATAGCTCACAGAATCTGAGCAGTCAGGAGCTCCCACTCCAGTTCTTGGTTGCCATAGAAAGAAGGAATAGATAACATTAGTCAGAGGTCAGCAAAATTATTCTCTAAAGGGCCAGAGAGTAAATATTTCAGTCTTGGGAGCCAGACTGTCTCTGCAGCCACTGCTCAGTTTTACAGTTGCAGTGTGAAAGCAGTCTCAGACAGTATACTCATGAATGGGTGCAGCTGTGCACCAATAAAACTTTATTTACAAAAAAAATAAAAATAAACGTTGAAGGGCAAATTTGCTTCCTAGGCCACAGTTAGCCAATCCCTACCTATAGGCCCTGGGTCCTCTGAGTCAAGTATGGTAGAAAGACCTGTGAGATTTTTCAGGGCAAGCCAAGGGGAGGCAGGGTTTAACTCCACTGTGGGACAGAACAACACAAAAACCAGTGTTTAAGTACTTATTGTAGGACTTTCCAAGGAATAAGTAAAAGTGAAAAGTACAGCCTAGAGCACTAGGTAAGGTTCGCCGCTTGTTTTGTTTGTTTTCACTCAAGATAGTAACTTCAACTTTGAAACAGAACCTTCTCTTTTGTTAGACATTTTGCTCAGAGCTCAGCTCCCTTTTATGTTGGAAGCTCCGCATTTCTAGAAATAGTTAGTAGACTGACAGGTAGAAAATGCTTGCTCTTGACTTCTATGTAGAGGTCATTTCTCTTGCAGTTTGGCTACACAGAAATGGATGGTACCTGGAGAGCAGAGGAAATCATTTTCTTCTTATTAATATAAAACGAAGACAGATGAGAATCCACAAGTAGTATCAGTTTGTCAGTGCTGCCAAACACGAGGTGGAGTCTGCTTCTTTGAGAGGACAGTCAGTGGAGACAGCATGAGTCCTCAGATCAGAGAGCAAGAACCACTTTCGGAGCCTTTTTTTAGAGTCCCTCCTTGGAGTTGTATGGGAAATTCAGCTACTTCAAAGTGAACACGTAGACACAACATGGTACACACACAAAATCACACATGCAGCTTTTTCTTCATTCCTAAAGTTGCAAAGGACCCCCCATTTACATCGTATACCATAGTGGCTGGCACCTACAAAGGGCTTTTATGATTTGACCTATGCCCAATCAAATGGGGCTGATGTTTAATTCGTTCTGTAGTGATAAGGTCAGGTTCTTACCAAATTTCTCTTTTTTGTTGTTTTACAGTTTTCTCCTTGTCTTTGGTTGCTTGATTTTGTCAGTGTTTTCTACCATCCCTGAGCATACAAAATTGGCCTCAAGTTGCCTCTTAATTCTGGTAAGTGAAACATTTGAACAAGAATGTGCATAAAGTTTATATAATTCTTTGTGCTGTGCATTGTATCCTACAAAGTATCCTGTCTAGGAAAAAAGTGTTACTGTGAAAGATGAAAGTTTCAATGATCACTGACTTAACTTGTAGTCAATCTTCAGGACAATATAGAAATATTCAAGATTGCTATTATGTTGCAATGTCTTTGGTTATAAGTACTTCGTACAAAGCATGCAATGTTTGAAAGCAGCTTTAATTATAGTTACCTGTGCTAATAAAAATAACTATAAGAAGAGTCAGTGTCATGACTGCTTCCGTTACTGCTAATGGCAAGAGTAGTGAGCATTTTCCAATAACTGCAGGGTAGTAGCAGTTCAGTGTAACTGGCCAAGAACTATGAGAACATGGCACCTTATGAGAAAACAGAAGGTCCTTTCATGCTCTTTTCAAATAACAGACTGTAGTATGAGTTTCTCTGGTAATGCAGTTACCTGGTGAGAAATTTTGCAGTTTGCTGTCTGTCCATTATGCTGTTAATCCTCAACCTCACAGAATTACTCTATTCACTTTCAGATGGAAAAAGATCCTTAGATATTTTTTGTCGGAATTATTCTGGGACTTTTAAGCTCCTATATTTTTATTGCAATAAAACTATTATACTGCACACCTAAATTGCACCTGATTGAAAGTTTGGTTTGTTTTCATCATCCATTCGACTTGCTCACTTAGCCCAAAATTGCCAGACCTGACAGTCTCAGAACTGTCTGAATGAACTGAAACAGCTCACTTCTGTGAAGCCTCGTCAAACACAAAGGAGGAGAGACCATTTAAAAGTTTTAGGTGCCCTAATAATCAGAGATGGGTTATGTACAGCAATAAGTGTTTAATATGAGAAGAATGTAATTACTATGAAGATGGAAACCAAAAGGTGTCAACTCCTGTAACCTGAGAGGAGAGGGCAGATGCTTTTCCTACCTTAGCTTTCAGATGGTTTGTTTGTGCTTGAGGTTGCCAAGGCATTAAATTGTCCAGCCAATATTAGGAGGGAAACATCTTTTGGGAACAAATCTATCCCAATTTGTTTTCATACAAATTGTGCTCAGCAGTATATTGCTAGTGTTAATGTTACAGTTACTGTTTCAAAACCCAAGGTAGAGAACAGATAGGCAAAAGAGCACATAAGAGATGTTTTCCATTTACAAGGTTTTCACTTGGTTGATAAGTGGTCTTTTAACCCTGTCCACCCCTTGGAGTGTACCAGATGACTTCAGCCCCAGGTTGAAGGCACAGCAGGTTTTAGGTCTACCCGTTTAACTACAACCAAGAATTTTAGATTGAAAATGTAAATTTGATTTTCAGACTTGGAAACATGAAAAACTGGATCTACTGCATGACAAGTCATGTATATTAGACATAAATCAATCGTCAGGTAGCCCAGAAAAAAAGTTTCTTTCCTAACTACATCAAGAAATCAAAATGTTGGGCCAGGGATTTAGCTCAGTGGTGCTACCACTCTCTGCCTTGCAAGCACAAGGTCCCAGGTTCCATCCCCAGCACCAAAAAAAGAATTCAAAATGTTAGGTTACATCTTCCTAATCTCTGAAATATAAATCTAGTTGCTGCCAGTGAGTTTCTATATGGTCAAAGAAACCCATGTAAATACAAAGCCCACAACTTTTTAAAGTTTGGACTTTAACGATCTATTAAGCAGTAAACAATTGATCCATGTTTCATAACTGGAGTGTATTTTATTGATAAAAATATTCACATTGTCAGTCCTTGTGTGTATGTGTGTATATATGTGTGTGTGTGTGTGTGTGTGTGTGTGTGTGTGTCTGTGTCTGTGTATGTTGGTAGAAACTGAACTTGGGACTTTGTCTCTGGTAGACAGGAAGGATTCTATCACTGAGCTCCAACCCCAGCCCCAAAGTTGTCACTCTCCAATGCCTTTGGACTTTGCAAAGCAGAAAGGAGTCTCTGCTATAAAGCCTTTGTCCTCAACAGTGTGTAGTCAGTGCTGCATTTTCAGAAGGTGCTGTAACCTGGCTTTCCATGGGCAGGGAGTTTGCTAATTATCTTATTTTTCTGTGTAGCTATGCATAGTCAAAGTGTGTGTTTTAAAGCCAAAGTGCATTCTAAATACCTACCTAGAAATCTGTGGACTGCCCTGCAGAGCTAAGATTTAATGGTGTTCTTCAACAATGTTTCCTCTAGAAGCTGTGTTTTATTTAGAGAAAACAATTCAAATAGTATCTTTGGGTTTTTCTGTCTTTGTTAGCAATTTTAATAATTGGAAAAACATTCATATTTAATTTTTCACAGTGAGTTAACATAGTATATCACAAAAATTCAATCAATTGTGGAATATTGGAAAAAAGATGAGAAATCCAAATGACTTAGGGGATCTCTTATTTACTGTTTTTAACATATATGTTTGGGAGGGCTATTGTGATTTCAAAATCTATCCTTTGAGCCTCTAATAAAGAAAAAATTCAAGAACACAGCTCTTTCTAGCAGTGCGTTGAGTCCCAAGATGGATCATATTTTTAAAAATTATCATCCAAAGAGTAATGAGTCGCTTTTGAAATGTTTGCAAAGACTTACAGCAGTCACTTTATTTTATTTACTTATTTACTAAATTTAAAAGTAGTGTCTTGCTGTGTTGCCCAGGCTGATCTTGAACTCCTGGACTCAAGTGATCCTCCTGCCTCAGCCTCCTGAGTAGCTGAGACTATAGGCATTTGTAATTGCACCCAATTTAAAGTAAATTTTATTTATTTTGCTGTTGGTGTACACTCAACACCACCAGTGGAATAAATTTGGAATGTCTATAAAATAACCACAATTGTATATTTTTTTTTGGAAGTCCTCATTTGTGATCATGAACTGATGAAGGCTGCCGCCAAGTGTCATCGAACAGAAAAGCAGGGTGGTAAAATAAAATAAAATAAAATATAAATAAATAAATAAATAACCCTTATAGTGAGCCCTCATCCTCCTTACCGACAGAATCTGCTACGGTATAACTTCTGGTTTTTCCCCCAACTCAAAACAACTCCAAAGGCATCTGTTTGAATCCATTCAGGATCGGGTGGTGGGATCGTTGTCCTCAGAGGGAGGGGGATCAATGGCAATGCTTCTTTCACTCTGAAGTATTTTTAAGTTTAAACATGCACTTCATTTTTCAATTACACCATGTCTTCTCCATCCACAATGGGAGGAAGTGAGATATTAATAACAGAAGTAAAACTGGAGTGTTCCCAAATTTGTGGAAATGAAGTGATATATTCTTAACCAATGGATCAAAGAAGAAATCACCCAAAAACTTGGAACATACTTAGAAAGGAATGAACTCAAAACACAACCCGTCAAATCTTCCAGAACATGGTTAAAGCAGTGCCCACAAGGAAATTTATCATGATAAATTGTCATGTTAAAAAGCAACATAGATCTCAAACCCACAAGCTAGCTTTACAGTTTGTAGAACAAGAAAAAGAACCAAAAGCTAGCAGAAAAAAAAAAAAATAGAGTACAAACAAAAAAATGAAATAGAGTGACAAAAATTAAAAAAACAAAACAAAACAACAAAACCCAAAGTTGGTTCTCTGAAAACATCAGGAAATTGACATATCTCTAGCTGCATGGCTAAGAGGAAGAAAAGAACAACAAAGAACAGCTCACATTAATAAAATCGGAAATTAAATGATTCTAGAGAAACAGGATTATGAGAGTACGGTGAACAAATAGAATAATTTAGATGAAATGAACAAATTCCAAGAAACATGAAACCTGCCAAGACTAAATCACGAAGAAATAGAAAATCCAAATGGACATGTAACTTGAAAGAAAATTCAACCAGTAATCAAAAATCTTCCAAAAAAAAAGGAAAGTGTGGAACCTAAAGGCTCCACTGGTGAATTCTTATAAGTATTTAAAGAAGCACCAATATCAATCTTTGTCAAACTTATCAAAAAAATTAAAGACAAGGGAGCACTTTCTGACTCATGAAGTGCCATTACCTTGATACCGATGCCACGGCCTGGAAAGAAAACCACAAACTGATAGCCCTGTGAACCCTGATATAAAAATCATCAACAGAATACTACTGAATCAAATCTAACAATATATTAAAGGGTTATAAACAGTGACAAACAGGACTTATAGCTGCAGTGGAAGGTAAGTTCTAAATACAGACAAAAACCAGTCAGTGTTATTCACCATATTAGCAGAATAAAGGGAAAAAACTATCTTTTCAATGGATGCAGAAAAGGCACTTGACAAAATTCTATACCCTTTCATAATGAAGACAAAATAGCAACAAAAACCTCAACAAACTGGGCATAGAAGCAAACTACTTCAACATTATAAAAGCTAAATATGGAAAACTCAGAACCAACATCATACTTAAATGGCAAAAGAAAAAAGGCTTCCTGTAAAATCAGAAACAAGACTCCTCATTTTGCCACTTCTACTCACCACAGGACTGGAAGTTCTAGCTGGAGCAATTAGGCAAGTAAAAGAAATAAAAAGCATCCAAATTGTAAAGGAAAATTACTTCAATTCAGAGCCAATATGATATTACATGTAGAAGACTCAAAGATGCCAGGAAAAAAAATCTATGAGATAATAAATGAATTCAGCAAAGTAGCAGGATACGAAGTCAACCACAAAAGTCAGTTACCTTTTCAGACACAATGAGCAACATGAAAGGAAAATTATGAAAACATTTCTCTTTATAATAGCATCAGAAGAGAATAAAATACTTAGGAGTTTACTTACAAAGAAGGTTAAAGTTTTATACAATGAAAACTACAAAACAAACCTAGAAGAAATTAAACGAGACATAAATAAATGGAAAAAATTTTCCACGTCCATCAACATGTTATTATCAAGATGTGAGTACTACCCAAAATGATCTACAGATTATATGCAATGCCATTAAAATCCCAAAGATGCATTTTTGCAAAAATACAAAAATTTATCATGAAATTCATATGAAGTCTCAA